AAATTCATTGGAAATTCATTGGAAATTCATTTGGATTTTCCTTTTTTCGCTTCGAGCGTATTTTCAATTTGTCGGGAATTTCCTTCAAATTTCTTTTTAAGTTCGCTTCAGCCGACTTAAAATTGACTTAAAATGTGTTTTGAACGTGCTTAAAATCTATCTTAGCCATTTTAAATTTCCTTAAAGTGACCAAAAATTCCCTTGAGATGTATTTTAAAGTCATTTTTACATTTTCTTTGAATCTCTTTTGGTTACTTTAAATTTACTTCAAGGGACCGAAAATTTCCTTGAAATTTATTTTAAAGTTATTTTACATTTTCTCAAAATCTGTTTTAGCTATTTTTAAATTTGCTTAAAATGACAAAATTTCCTTAAAAATTATTTTAAAGTCATTTTTACATTTTCTTTGAATCTCTTTTGGTTACTTGAAATTTACTTCAAGGGACCGAAAATTTCCTTAAAATGTATTTCAAATTTACTTGAAATTCGTCACATAAAATTACGTAAAATGACTTAAAATGTACTTAAAATGTAGTATGAATTTATTTTAGATTTATTTAAAATGACTTAAAATTTACTTGAAATGTATTATGAATTTATTTTAGATTTCCTTAAAATGACTTAAAAATTTACTTCGATTTCTTTTCATTTACTTACATCTACTTAAATTTACTTGAATTTGCTTAAAATTTACTTAAAATGTCTCTTATTTTTCTAAATTTACCTACAATTTACGTAATTTTCTTAAAGTTGTATTTTAAGTTTGCTTCACAATTGTTTGCAATTGATTTTGAACCTTAAAGATGCTTTAAAGGCATTTCTTTGTAATTTTAACGGCGTTTATTTTACTTTTAAAAGAATGAATGTAAATTTTTTAAAGTTTAAATATCAGGTTTTTATAGAATTCAGTAATAAATTTAAAAATGTTAAAGAAACATTGAATATTAAATAGAAAAAGTAACTATAAAATGTACCTATAAAATGTAGCTATAAAATATGAAATGCATAGAAAAGAATTGTAAACAGGGAAGAGGAAATATGTCTAAAAACCGAAATAAATAGAAAATAAGTAGAAAATAGTAAATAAATAGTAAATAAACTTTATTTTATCTAGATATATATTTCTATTTATAGAAAATTAAATAGATAAAAAATAAGAGTAATGTAAAATCAAATAAATCTAAGATAAATAGAAACATGAAATCAATCTCAGATCGGTTTCTCTGGGCCACAGCTGAACACGGTTGCTCTGCACGTGTGGAACCAGGGTGTAGTTTACTCCATGTGTGTAAACGGGGTGTAGATTGCATGTGGCGCATGTAAGCGGGGTGTAGGTTGTATTTGATGTGTGTGTGTCGGGTGTATTTTACACCGTGTGTATAATCACGGTGTAGTCTGCACCATGTGTGTAAACTGGGGGGTGTAGGTTGTATTTGACGTGTGTGTGTCGCGTGTATTTTACACCGTGTGTATAATCACGGTGTAGTTTGCACCATGTGAGTGTTAACATGGGGTAGTTTACACCATGTGTGTAAATGAGGTGTAGATGGCATAGGATGCGTGCAAGTGGGGTGTAGTTTACACCACATGTGTAAGCCGGGTGTAGGTTGCTCCGTGCGTGTGTAACCAGGGTGTAGCTTACACTGTGTGTGTAAGTGGGGTGTAGTTTACATGTGATGCATGTAAGTGGGGTGTATTTTACACCGTGTGTGTAAACCAGCTGTAGGTTGCTCCGTGCATGTGCAACCATGGTGTAGTTCACAACATGCATGTGTAAGCGGGGTGTAGGTTGTGCTGTGTGTGTGTGTGTGTAAGCCGGGTGTAGTTTGCATCACACGTGTGTAACTGTGGTGCAGTTTACACCACGTGTGTTGGTGGGGTGTGGATTGAATCTGATGTGTGTAAGCAGTGTAGTTAACACCGTGTGTGTGTAACCATGGTGTAGTTGACACCATGTGTGTAAACACAGTGTAGGTTGCACTGTGCGTGCGTAAACTGGGTGTAGTTCACTCCATGTGTGTGAACAGGGTGTCGATTGCATATGATGCGTGTAAGCAGGGTGTAGTTTACACCACGTATGTAACCCGGGTGTAGTTTGCTCTGTGCGTGTGTAACCATGGTGTAGTTCACACCATGTGTGTAAACTGGCTGTAGGTTGCTCCGTGCATGTGTAACCGTGGTGTAGATTGCATTTGATGTGTGTAAACCGGGTGTAGTTTGCACTGTGTGCGTGTAACCGTGGCGTAGTTCACTCCACGTGTGTGCAAGCGTGTTGTATCTCACACCACACGTGTGTGAACACCCGTACCGCACTCTTCATGCATACAACCGGGTATAACTTGCACAGCAAGCATGCAAACAGGGTGTAATTCACACGAGTGTGTAAACACGTTGTAGCCTGCACACCACGCATATGTAAGCGTTTTTAAGCGTGTTCAGATGCTGCTCCCCCTCCCCCCAGATGCTGCTGCTGCTGCTGCTGGCGCTGAGCACCCGTCCCACGCATGGGGCTGTGCACGTCAACCTGACCGAAGGTACCGGCACATGCGTGTGCGCACACCGGGACACGCGTGTGGCACCACCGCCATCACTGACCCCCATATGTGACCCCCAACATATGTGATGCCCTACAACATACACGACCCCCCACAACATACACGGCCCCTCAACAACATGAGACCCCCCCCCATACAACATACAAGACCCCACAACACACGTCCTCCCCATATATGGCCCCCATACGTCTTCCCAACATGTAACCCCCAAATTTGCATGTAACCCCTCCAACACACATGTAACCTCCCAACACACATGTAACCTCCCCCAACGCATGTGTAACATTCCCAACATGCACGTAACCCCCCAAACTTGCATGTAAACCCCCAACAGCCATGTAATGTTGCTCAGCACGTGTGTAACCCCCCCAACATGCATGTGATGTCCCCCAACACGCATGTAATGTCCCCAGCATGCATATACCCCACCCAAACCTGTGTGTAACCCCTCCAGCATGCGTGTGATGTCTCCCAACACCTGTAACCCCTAACACATGTATAACCTCCCCAACATACATGTAACCTCCTCCAACACACACGTAATGTCCCCAACACACACGTAATGTCCCCAGCACATGTGTACCCCACCCAAACTTGTATATAAACCCCTGAACTTGTGTGTAACCCCCTCCTACACGCATGCAATGTCCCCAGCATGTGTCTATCCCAACTAAACTTGCATGTAACCCCTTCCAACACATGTGTAACCCCCTCCCACACTCATGTAATCTCCCCCAACACACACGTAACTCCTTCCACGTGTGTAAACTCCCCAGATGTGCATAACCTCCCCCAACACACATGTAATGTCCCCCAACACACATGTAACCCCCTCCCACACGTGAAACCTCCTCCCACATACATGTAACCCCACACACACGCGTGTTACCCCCCGCAGGGTGTCAGATCATCCACCCTCCGCGGGACGGGGGTATCCGGTACCGGGGGCTGACCCCCGAGGAGGTGCGCAGCGTGCGGCTGTTGCCGTTCGACTACGAGATCGAGTACGTGTGCCGGCCCGACCGCCAGATCATGGGCCCCAAGGTGCGCAAGTGCCAGCGTGACGGCACCTGGACCGCCATGGCGCAGCCCAGCCGCTGCTGTGAGTGTCACCGCCGCTGTCAACGTCACTCGTAGTATCCATTGCCTTCATCATCACCGTTACCTTCATCAAAACCACCAGCATCACAACCACCATCCCCATTCACCTTCATCATCACCATTACCTTCATCCCTCTATTGTCATCATCCCCATCACCTCCATCATCACTATCATCATCCCCAACCCCACCATCTCCATCATCATCATCAGCCCCATCCCCATCATCGTTGCTATCATTGTCACCATCCCCATTGTCACCATCACCATCATCATCATCCTCATCACCATCACCAGTGCTGTCACTGTCCCCAGCACTGATATTGTCACCATCATCATCACAAACACCATTCCCGCTGCCATCCTCATCCCCATCACCATCACTGTTCCTATCACGATTGCCATCACCATGTCCATCGTGATCACCATCACCATCATTCTTAGTTTCATCACTGTTGCCTTCATCACAATCACCATCCCCATCACCATCCCCATCACCAGCACCATCACTGTCCCCATCGTGATCACCCTTGTCATCACCCTGTCCATTGTGATCACCATTAGCACCACCATCACGATCACCATCATTGTCACCATCATTCTTAGTCTCCATTACCTTCATCATCATCATCACCTTCATCACAACCGCCATCACCATCACTATCACAATCACCACCATCATCATTGTTACTGTCTCCATTGCCTTCATCATCACCGCTACCGTCACAACCACCATCCCCACCATCACTATCATCACCGCCATAGTGGACACCACCATTGTCACCATCACCATCGTGATCACTGTTAGCATCCTGTTACCATCACCATCAGATTTAGCGTCACCATCAGGATCACCATCACCATCACCGTCAGTGTTACCAACACCATTACCGTTATCATTACTGTAACCATTACCACCACCACCATTACTACCACCATCACCATCACCATTATTGCCGCCACCATTACCATCATTGTCACCCTCCCCATCCCTGTCACCATCACCATCACCTTTGTGATCACCTTTAGCATCCCCATCACCAGTACTGCAACCATTACCATCACCATGACCATTACCGTCACCAATACTGTCAATGTCGCCGTCACAACTGCCATACCCATCACCATCATCATCACCATCCCCATCATCAGAATCACAGCCATTCCCGTGCCCATCATCATCCCCATCACCATCACCACCATCATCTCCATCCTCGTCATCACCACCACCATCTCCATCACCATCACCATTATTGTCCCTGTCATGAGCGCCATCCCCATCATTCTTCATGTCCATTGCCTTCATCACAGCCACCATCCCCACCCCCATTACTGTCCCCATCCCCATTACTTTCATCATCACCTTCATCATCATCATCATCACCATTCCCACCATCACCACCGTTACCATCCCCATCATCACCATCATCACCACCATCACCAGTGCCATCACTGTCCCCAACTCTGATATTGTCACCATCCCCATCACCACCACCATCATCTCCATCACCATTCCCGTCATCATCACCATCATCACCATTCCTATCCCCATCGTCACCATCACCCCCATCATCCCCATCACCTCCATCCCCATCATCCCCATCACCTCCATCCCCATCATCACCATCACCCCCATCCCCATCATCAACATCACCCCCATCACCACCAGCATTCTCATCACCATTTCCATCACCATCATCACCAACATCCCCATCCCCACAGGTCCCCCCAAAACCCCTTGGTAGATCTCACTCATGGAAGGGTTTGCAATTGACCCCCCCTCCAAAACTTTACGCCTCAAAACCAGTGCGAACTTGCCCCAAAATGCACCTGAGCCTGGAGAACGGGCAGGCGGTGACGCGAGGGATGGAGCGGGTGCCGGTGGAGGGGACGTGGACTGAGTACAGCTGCAACCCCGGCTTCCGCCTGGTGGGCAGCGCCCGCAGCAACTGCACCAAGATGGGGCGCTGGAGCACCCCAAAACCCGTCTGCGAGCGTGAGTGGGGCTGGGGGGTCCATGGGGTGGGGTCTCCATGGGGTTTGGGGGTCTCTGAGGTGGTGGGTTGGGGTCTCCATGGGGTTGGGAGTTGCCTGGGGTGGTGGCTTTGGGTCTCCATGGGGTTGCGTTGTCCTTGGGATGGAAGCAATGGGGATTTATGGAGTCTCCATGGGGTTTGGGGGTCCATGGGGTGATGGCTTGGGGTCTCCATGGGATTGGGTGGTCT